ACCCTCCCCTTCCTCTTCCTGCAGAGCCACCATCATCGTAGGGATGTTTGCAGCCTCCACGATAGTAGAGTAGTATGACTACTCATAGCCATAGTCAATCATCACCGCCTCTTCATAACCACAACCATCTGGAGGTCAGCCACAACCACCTCTCCTATCACCATGATGTCAACCTCTAATTTGAGGTGGCATGCGAGGAGGAGGGCGATGGAGATGATCTTCATACACGGTGCTCTGGAGGCGTGTCGAGCAGCTTGGTGCTCTTTCCTTTTCTTGTCTGGTGGCTGGACTAAAAGGATTTCACTTTCTTCCCTTTCTATTTCTTTGCCATTCATTTAATCCATTGCCATAACAGCTGCTCCTCTGTCTTCAAAATGTCAAATGCATAATCTTTCAACTTCTTCACTCTTTCAAGTTTTTCAAATTCAGAAAAACGATTTCTCCAGTATTGCTTCTGTAACAATAGTAGTAGTAACCAGATTTCCAAGAGTTAAGACCTTAGCCATGACTCTGGGTCTGGTTCTTCCATAGGTTCAGCCCATTTAACTGTAACTGTTGGTATGTGCCATCGAGTTGCTGACAACTCATGATGACCCTATGTAAAATAGCTCTGAACCTGCCCTCTCCTGAGCCAGTCTGACTCTGACACACTCACCTCATGACTGCATTTACTGTGTCAAACCCATCTCATCTGGGGTCTTCCTCTCCTGTGCTGTTACCTCCACCTTTACATCATGATGTCCTTTTCCAAGGACTAGTCCTTCCTAGACATGTGCCCAAAGTATGTAAAGCAGAGCTTCAAAACCCTTGCCTCCAAGGAGAGACTTGGTTTCCCCCTCTCAAAGACAGACCTATTTGTTGTCCTGGTAATCCATGATATGTTCAAGACTCTTCTAGAACCACAACTCAAAGGCATTGGTTCTTCTTCTGTCATCAATAGTCACAGCCCAGCTCTTTGATGCATAGCAAGTGCAAAGATCAGGTACACCTTAGTCTCTAGACTGACATTGTTGCTCTTTAGCACTTTGGAGAGCTCCCTGACATCAGACTTCCTCATACTTTTTCACTCATCAGCTGGCATTTGACTTGTGCTGCTGACCTGTGATCCTTATATTCAAGGAAGCAGAACCCTCAATTCTTTTCTTTTGTTTATCAGCAAACAACACTTTTAATGATATAACAATAAAGCCATCTCCATAAGGGGAAGAATAGTACAAGTATGCCTACTACCCTTGGTGTTAATCAAGATAGTTCTGGAGATTTTTTTCCCTTTTATTATTTTTGTGTGAGTGTACCATCAAATAAGATCTGACTGGTACAGGAGGAGATTGTTCTTCCTTCTCCGGCAGAACATCTGGTGGATTTGAACCGTGCACCTCTAGGATTATAGTTGCAGCTCCTTGCCACTAGGCCACCAGAGCTCCCCTAATTCTGGAGTTTTAAGCTAAAACAATCTGAGGAAAAATAGAAGGTGGAAATATTGGAAGCAAAGAGATAAAACTGTATTTGAGGGGAAAAAAAGGGTTATTTTGTTGAAATGCTTCTTCAGAAGATTAATTGACAGGAATTTTCAGCTAATGTGCTGGATACAATAGATTCTTTTATTTTTATCATCAGGTTGATAGAGAATAACGTCCACCAAACCCTCTGTTAAACTTCGAACTTTACTGAATTCTTCCAAACTATTTTCTATAGTCTTATTCTTTGGAACTGATCCAACAAAAAACCTATTGTTTGTCACAGAAATGTATACTTCAAGGTGTTTTCCAGAGCATATTTCATAGCTGCCACAGTTTTAAAGCTTTCTAGGTTGCTTCCTTTCCACAAAAAGTGATAAGACATGGATCCCAGATGGGACCAGTATTTCTCAAAAAGAGGCACCAACCCATCCTCATAGGAATCTCTTGGTATCTTACCTATAAAATCCTCTGTTCCAGTTCCAGGTGGTGCACCAGAGTACACACCATCTGGGGGAGGACCACCCTATTCCTCTGTCCAGTTAGTACATCTGGAGTATAATCAGACCTCACGAGCACTTGACCTTTGCTTCCTCAGGCCCTTTTGTGGACTCTTGCTCCTACCCTTTGTCCATAAGTCTTTGTAACTCCACATAAAAATGTACTTTTGTTCCAAAGATGTGATAGGTCACTTTCCTTGAAATGTTGTAGCACAGAGCTACTTCTTCATGAAATCCCCTGAGAGCATTAATTGCTCTTCCATTCAAGATCGACGTAAGCTACCAACCCTGTCGGAAATATCAAGTCTTTCTGCCCCCTTCTGTGGGAGGCCAGCCCTGTCAGTGTCTTGTAGTGTTCTGTGAGTTACACTGAAAATATCCACTGGTTCTTCCCCTTCTTTTAACTGCACCACATTACCATTCACCTTGGCCATTTTACTATGCAGGGCAGAGTGGGGCTGGCAGCCAGGCCCGTGAGAATCAGTGCCAGGCACTTTGAAAATGACTAGAAATGGGGTGCGCACCACCCCCACCCAAGCCCCCATGAATGGCGGTGCAATCCTGGCGGGTTTTGTTTTATCCAGTCTGCTACTCTTTTAACTGGCACGCTTAAAAGATTCACATTTAATGTGATTATCAATTAGCAAGGTTTTATCGTTGCCATTTTGCTGGGCCCCTTTTTGTTATTGCTGGTTACTTTAATGCATCCACTTCTCTATGCTCTCTGTGTGTAAGGAATTTCCTTTAGACTCTAGTGGCAGGAAGCTGCACTGCAATCTCAATGGCACATGGTTCGAATCCACCAGCTGATCTGTGGTCGAAGGATGGGCAATCTCCTCCCGTGTGATTAACCGCCTCTGAAAACCTGCTGGAGGGTCAGCTATGGGTTGGTTCCAACTCCACGGTATACAACAACAATTTGTTAAAAAATTGGTCTACTTTTCATGAACTCCTTTGTTGTTGTTGTTATGTGCCGTCGAGTCGCTTTAGTGTCTGCTTTTTTGAGAATGTCCTAACTTCTGTCATATTTGATGACCAGCTTTTCTGGGTACAGGATTCTTGGTTGACAGTTATTTTCTTCCAGAGTTTTCTATGTGTCATCCCACTGTAATGCCTGTTCCAGCACTCTCCTCATCATGGGCCCCTGGACTAGGTCGTCCACATACTCCATCAGAACAGTGTTCAGCATTTACCCCATCTGTCTCGCATAAAACAACCACCAAAACCAACTACCCCCTTCCAACCAAGAGCATTGCACAGAAAACAAACAGGTCTTGCATGCTGAACCCTGTGCAGTATTGAAGGCTCAGTCCTTTTCCCCTTCTTTGTGTGGGACCCAAACCCAAGAGGGCCCAGTACCCAGTGCTGTGCATTTCGTCCTTATCTGTGCCTTTCTCTCCTTTGCATCTTAGTTCTCAGTACACCTCCTCTGACTTCAGGGTACTCGATTTACTGCCTGTCAGTGGGCTTCTCTGCCCTTTTGTGACCCCACTGGAGAGAGACAGGTTTGCGAGTCTGACTAACTTGCCACCCACCAAAGTCCCTGCTGTTTGTTTCCTTGACTGTTGTGTCCATAGGTATCAAATGTGGATCTTAGTAAAATTAAATCCTTGGCAATGCCTCAATTTTGGATGTCTTAGAGACACTATTCAATTTCTTTTACTTACTTTCACTTGGCTTTATTAAAAAGATACATTAAGGCAGCTTCACAAACCCTTAAGTTATATTTACACAGGACAATGAAAAGAAGATGTGTATATTAGTGAGTGGTAAGGAACAATGTTCTGCCAACCCAAAGGCACAAAGTTCAAATCCACCAGCTGCTCCAGAGGATGGACAATCTCCTCCTATGCGATTTACTGCCTTTGACGACCAGCTGGAGGGTCAGCAATGGATCAGTTCCGACTTGAAGGAACAACAGTAGATAATAAACGTCTTTTACTGATAGACATAGGTTTTTAATGTATGCCAAAAATGAACTAAAAGGAATCTGGTCTAAGCTGGTGGTTGTTCTTGTGTGCTGTTGAACTGACCCATAGCTCACCCTGGCGGTTTTGCAGAGACAGTAACTCACAGGGAGGAGGGTGCCTGTCCTTCTCCCACAGAGCAAGCCGTGGATTAGAACCGCTCAGCCTTCGCTTGAACCATCCCAGCTGCTTCTGCTCTGGTGTGTTGGACTGGCTGTATCAGTTGCCCTGAGAAGCACACCCCACCTCTCAGCCATTCTCTGGGACACAACAGAACTACCCAGAGAGTCTCCAAGGTTCTAAATGTACTGGAAGGAGACTCCTCCACCTTTTCCTCCAAGGAGTGGCTGCTGGGTTTGAACTGCTGATCTTCTAATTAGCAGCCCGCTCACTGCTTACCTTAATACAGCATCGGAGCTCATCTGAGGAAGTGTACCACCATTGACACACCCACTAAGTGTCATGCAAAGTCGGACAGGAACACGCATCATCAGAGAAAGCATCAGGCAAAAACAAGGTCATTTGGTTTTAATCTAATTTCAATCCCCAAAATTGCTTCCCCTGTCATTACAAACATACTAGGCAAACATGGGCCAGGAGAGGCCAGGTGGACATTTATACACGTGTCCCTCTGACAGGCGCCTTGGCATGACAGGCACCACCAATACCATGTTCGAGGCAGCACCGTCAGGCAGGTCTTCCTCAGCAATCAGAAGATACCAGAAATGCACGTACTTTTTTATTTTATAATAAAAGGATCGCTGTGAACAGCCAGTGTGTTCTGGTGTCACATACTCTGACACCTGTCGGTCATGGTCCCCTCTGACCAGGCTGGACGCCCCGTCCTCCATGAGGGCAGCCAGTCCAGGGTCTCAGCAGTTCATGGGGACACTGGCGTCCTCCTGCTCCTGGGCTTGGAGGGAAGGCCAGCCCCGAGTGGCTGCTCCTCAGGCTCCGCGCCCAGCTCGCCTTCAGGTCCTCTCTGCGCTTTTCTCCTTAGGCAGCAGCTGCCTGACGTATTACAGTCTTTGCCTTTTCAGTTCATACCCCTGCACCCCACCGAGGCACAGAAACCATCAATCCACTGTGCCATTGTAGGATTTGTTGAACTTGTTGAAGGTGAAGTCCACAGTGTGTGTGGAGATGGGCTTTCTGTACAGAGGGTTTGATGCCTACAGGACACAGAGGTAAGAGACCTGGGTTAGTTCATCCACTGGAACAGACTCGGCTGCAGACACCCCCTCAGCCACCACCCAGCCCAGCAGCAGCCAGTGCTCGGTACCTGCTCGGCCTCTGCACCCCTGGGAAAGCCCTATCTTTCTCTGAACTTTAACACCTCATCTTGGAAATAAGTGGCTGGCCAGACCGTTTCTATTAAAATTGGAAGAGACTTCAGAAACCACATCATGTATTCATTCACTGCATACTTACTATGTGGTCAGTCTTTCTGGAGCAGTCAGTTTACATGGTAGGTAAGACAGAACACATGAAGTCATAGATACTAGAAACTGAGGTCATTTCCTACAGTGGAGGTGTCTCCAAAACACTGTCAAGTTCTTCCTGTCTGAGCCTGAGCCCTTGGAGCTAGGGAGGGCCAATCCTGGGGAGTGGCATCCTCTGGGTCTAGAAGTGCGCATAGCCTTTGAGTTTCTGTTCCTTTGCTTTTTACGCCAAAGATGGGAGTAGGCCTTGTTTGCTTGCTAAAATGCAATGACATCTCTAGGCTTGAACCAGCCTCTCTGCCCACTTCCTGTTGGCTTACCATCTCATAGCGGGCCCTGGATCGCTCACTCTGAAACTTTGCAAACTCTCTCCGGTCATGGATGGTGACGAGCAGCTTCCAGATCGCCAGGAGTGCAATTCCGATCAGCAGGATGCTGCCCACCACGGCCAGCAGGATGGTCATGGCACTGGGGGCGGTCCCACACTCTGGAGGGGCCGGAAGCACAGGACATAAAGTCACCAGCACCTCTGCACTCCCGCCACCTCCCTGCCCATCGGGCTTATTGAAAAGAAAACATCATCCCTCTTTCAAAGTCCTCCTCTCTTTAGATCTTCCCATTGCTTCTGGGGCACCTGGCTGAGCAGGAATGTTTCCTCAATCAGAGAGGGGCAGTGACTACTCCTAAGTCACACAGCAATGGGAATCTTTCCCCACTGGTTCTGAATCACTGCTGCATTTTGCCTGACCCAGCCACTTGGATAATGTCTCAGCTCCCACATAAATGCCAATTTAAACTGCCAGACTATGATGGGCAAAGGGGGCAGATTATGAGGCCAAGAGGTTCCATACGCTGAGAACTGGGCTGGACCAGCCAATACTACTAAACCCTGCGGTGCCCTGGCATTGCAGTGGTGGGGAGCCCACAGCTGGCCTTCGGGACAAAGATGAGGCCGTTTGCTGTGGTAAAGCTTTACAGGAAACCCGTGGGGCCACTCTCCTCTGTCCAGCAGGGTCACTATGAGTCAGCATTGACTCAGCAGCGTGGGTTTGAGTTTGCTTTTCAGTGTGGCGTCCACTGGAGCGAATGTGCTTATTTTCAAACCACCGCAAAGGCAGTGCTGGGAAATGCAGCCTCATCGCTTCAGGCACACATCCCGGGCCGCCTGCAATGCTTCCTTTCTGCCTCTTGCCCAGAAAAGGCACATTAAGTGGTCTGGCCCAATTTGGAAAAACAGTGCTCAAGACTGTGTAAAGAAGAGAGCGATTTTCTTTTCTGCTTCCCTGTCCACACCCTTCGCTATACACCCTCAAAAGTAAAACAGACAATGCTGGAAATCTCAGTCTCCCAGTCACTCGATGCAAAAAGCCTTTTCATCTTCGAGCCCCAAACACAAGACAGGATGGTGGGGGTTGGAGGAAAGCCCATACTCCTCAGGGACTGGGAGCTGAAGTGCAGCGGCTGCAGGAGTCCGGCATGGTCCTCCCTCTGCCCTGGGGATCAGGGCAGCCCTGCCCTCCTCCTTGATGCTCTAGGACTCAGATCACACAGCCCATGATAACTCCTCACCACCTCGCATGGTTCTGCTCTGTCTCCTCTAAACCTGACGTGCTCCTTCCCACCAGGGGCAGGGAGTGTCCTCCCAAGACTCCCACCCCCTCACCCACTTGTGCCCAGGCCCTGCCCACCAATGTCCCCCAGTCTTTCTTCTGAACTCTAGGAGTTGAGGGGAGATCTGGTGTCCTGGTTTTCTCATGGAATCGTACCTCTCCTCTCTCTAGAGTTTAGAAAGGACAGAGAGGAGAACGTGGTGACATCTCTAGAGCAGCCCTCACAGCCTCATTCACTGGAGCCCCGAGCCCCTGCCCGTCAGCGGGGCCCACCTCCTTGAGGACCCACCTGGCTCCTTGAGGACTGTCAGGTTGGTCTTTCCGCTCGGGAGCTCCACGTAGGTGAACATCATGACGCAGTCCCGGGCGGTTTTGTAGAAGCAAAGCACAGCCTCCTGGTCATCGTTCACTGGAGGGAAATCAGGCAGAGATACCCTAAGTGTCTAGAAAATCCCACACAGCTGGGGAGGGAGCACAGGCAGTGGGGGGAGCACCTGGGGAGGGGTGGGGGAGCAGAGAGGATCAGAACAGACTGCGTGCAAGCATGGTTTTGCATTTCTCACAAAGAACACATGCCCAGCTCGGAGGTCTGGATTGCCCCAGGGAGGTGAATTCCTTTAGATGCAGCTGAACGAGTTAGGGGCCCTTCAAACCTCTACAGTGCCTACTGGGACCAGGTGGAATGAGTGAAGCCAACCATGTGTGGGGCAGGGAGGGTGGAAATTAAAGTGATAAAGGGAGAGACACTTCAGGAGCCCCTGATGCCTGGGGAGTAGCCATGGAAAGGCCAGGCCTGCCTGTCTCTCAGGGCTGAGGGCTGGCTGCACAGGCCAAGAACCTGTAGTAGTCTTCCAGGATGTGAAAGAACAAAACAGCTAAGAAAGAAGCTAAGGAGATATGTGAGCAAGAGATCCCACATGCACAGTGGTGTCACCCTCAGAGAGAACGAGATGGTGTAGGGACCAGTGGGCAGCTTTTGTGGCCAAGTGGACATAGATTGTTCCTCAAGCACTTTCATATCTGCTTTTGTCCCCACAGTACTGCTAACACGTGAGGAGGTTATCAGAATGCTCCAGCAAGCATCGTTTGCATTCCAAGGCTTCTCTTGGGAAGGCCTACAGATTGCATTTTTAGGAGGAAAAGGAATGAGGGGAAAGTGAATTAAGAGTGAAGTGAATAGTTACGAAGTAGAAATGATACATCGATCCTGAACACTAACTTTACAAAACAAAAAAACCAGCTCAAACCCACTACAAAGGAGCTGGGACCCTCCAGCAGGTTTTCCAAGGCTGCTAGTAGCACAGGAGGGGACTGCTCATCTTTGTCCTGCAAAGCTGTCGAGGGATTCGAACCACCAAAGGTGCAACCTCTGGGTTAGCGGTACAACTCCCCATAGACTATGACCCCAACAACACAAAAACATGACCACTATTCCCAGAACATTTCCAGCAACTCTAAAGAAATCTCGTGCCTATTTACTGTCTATTCCGAAGCCCCAACCTCATCTCCTGGTAACCACGAATCCACCTTTCTGTCTCTATCAATTTACTGTTCTGGACTTTTCATATACATAAAAGAATACGCCTTTTGTGTCTGGCTTAACATTTTCAAGACCCATCCACACTGTGGCATGTATCAGAATTTCATTTCTTTTTCAAAGAGTATTCATTCTGTTGTGTGGTGATGTCATTTTGTTTATCCATTCAACAGCTGATGGACACTGAGTTTGCTTCCACCTTCTGACTATTTCATGTAGACATACGTTTTACGTTCTCTAGAGCACGTGTCTGGGAGTGTAATTGTTGCCTGGGCAAGTTAAGCACTTCAGTTACTCTGCAGGGAGAAGACCTTCCGTAAAGGTCTGTCTCCTTCCATCAAGAACAAAGCCGAGGAAACCTTGGAGCAGTGCCTCTCTGCCACACAGGGTCACTATGCATCGGGATCAACTCGACAGCACCCAACAGGAATAACTTCATGACAACTGTGGTCGTCCTTTGCAGAAGTGTCAAACTGTTCTCCACAGCGGCTGCATTTTTAAATCTCATTCGTCACGGCTGAGAGTTCCAGCCACAGGCATATGGCTGATGTCATGGTTCAAGTCATGACGATCCTGACTTGGTATCAGTGTCGTGTTCTAGATACATTCCAAACCTAATCGCATGCATTGAGGGCTAAGCGATAGGATTTGCTCCTCTCATCCTCAGAAACTGCCCAGCCTTAAGAGCAATGGCTGCCTGAAAAGAAATGGATCCAACTCAGAGATGAGGAGGGGGGAAATTATTTGAATAATCTTTTCTATTAACCCAGAAGGAGGACCATCTCTTCCTGTGGACTCATGGTCAGTCATCGGCTCTGTCCACAGGCAAAGTCAGAGGCAAATGAGGTAATGCTGGAGTGCTCAGCATGAGAAGAGCCCCAAGATGCAAGAGGTGGGCAAGATGACAAAAGAAAGAGTGGCTGAGGTGAGCACAAGTGGATGTCTTGCAGGTGAGAGGAGAGCCAGGTGGCCCCAGTCCCAGGCTCAGCCTGGACACCGCTGAGAGACCTGCCACCTCTGCTGTCTGCAGCCCTGAGGGCTACGTGGGCTGCCAGACACAGAGGAGACTCATTATCAGTCATCACACATGTCTTGACTACATTCCTCAGTCACCTTTTCAGTTACAAGTGACCAGAAATGGCTCAACTTTAAGACACGGTTCAACAGACACCCTTATACAACAAATAACAACAAGGAGGCACTTAACTCCGTAGAATAATCAACATATAAGATTAAAACGGCAGCACTTGCCCAGGGTAAAGCTCTGAAGGCATGAAGGGGTAGAGGAGGAAGATTAAGGGAAATAAGCACCACAGAGATGAAGCAGGAAGAGTGCAGTTATATTGTGGGTATAGTGGTAATTAATGTCCTAATACATTAAGGAAAGGTTGGATGGAAAACCAATTTGCTTTATAAACTGTCACTCAAATCACATAAAAAGGGAGGGAAGCAAATAAATGTAATTGAGTTCTAGCCATGAACTGTAGGCAGTATGATAGGCACCAGGTCCAGGCTTTGCCCGTGTAGACCTCTCCCATGGTCCTGTACCTGCCTTTCTTTCTCCATTTACTGACTGGATGGAGAAGATGCTTAGCCTCTGGAGAATACATGTGCTTGGGGTCTTGTCACAGCAACAAGAACATTTCACAGGACTTTCAGTGAGTAACAAATCAACTTGTATTTTATTACATAATTGGATGAGGAGTCTGTAGACAACGTTGTTGTTCTTAGGTGCCATTGAGTTGACTATGACTCATGCTGATGCTATTAACAGGAGATCTAAACCTTGCCCTATTCCACACCCTCCTCACAATCTCAGATATGTTGAAAGTCCATTGTTACAGTCACTGTGTCAATCTACCTTGTTAGGGATTTTCTTCTCTTTCTCTAACCTATAAAGTATACTAACTTTTCAGAGTACTTAGGATAAAAAAAATATAGCTAGGAAGGAACTGAGTTCCAGAAGTGGGGCAGGACATTACCGAACAAGGTAATCTTGTGCCCTGGAGAGGTGGAGAACCTTGGTTAGCCAGTAGTCACACCAAAGAAGCCTAAGGTGGGCTTTCTACCTCAAGAGAAAAGCTACTACTACAAGCATCCCTGAAGATGGTCACTGTGGGAGAGAAAATCACTGGGTATCTTCCCTGGCTCCAAAAGGGGACAGAAGCCCAGGGCCTCTTCTACACACTCACCGATGGTGTCCGCCCACGTAACCACCTCATCCTTGCAATAGCTGTGGCACGTCTGGTTACCAGCCGGTTTCCCTGAGTGAAGCAGCAAACACTCTACACAATCCCTTTGGAAAGAAGAAATAAAGGTGGAGGTTAGATGCTGTACCACAGCTTCACACATGTAACACGTAACTGTGTTCCAACAACATAGATTCCAGCTCTGGGCCCCTCAGGCCCTGGGCGGTTTTCTCATTTTCCTCCATCTTTGGATGTCTGGCTTCAAGGAATGCTTCTGCTCCACTCTTCTTGTTGCAGAGAGCCAGAAGGTTCTCAAGGGTGCATATATAAACTTAGAGGCGTATCTGATCTACATGTGAAGGACTGAGTTGTACACTTTTCAATTCAAGCCATGCCCAGGAGAGCTCTGGTGGTCTAGCGGCAAGAAGCTGCACTGCAATCCCAGAGATGCGTGGTTTGAATCCACCAGATGCTGGAGAAGGAGGGACAATCTCTTACTGTACCAGTCAGATCTGATTTGACGGTACACACCCCACCCCCACTCTTTAATTAAAAAAAAAATAAATAAAAGAGCCAAGCCCAATTACATTCTGATGCCTGAGGTAACAGCTTCAAGGAAAAGTTTCTGGGTGACAACACTGAGTTCCAGGCCCTCCTATGAGTCCCTATACACCACGGCCAGTGTCTGATATCCTCACCTTAAATCCCAGGATGCCCAGCGCAGGATCCTTAACACTTCATACATCAGACTGGTAAAGAGCAATGCCTGGGCCTGTCACATCCACGGACGGCACATCTCAAACTGGGGCCTGGACTCCCCAAGGATCTGAAGTCAGTGAGGCCGGAGAACCAGACATGCTCACCTGCCAGCTGCCCCAAAGACTCTGTGTCCACTTGACTGTTACTCCGTCTAGACTAGACTTTGGTGGACATTAGAGGGGAACGTTTCTCTCCCAGGGAACTCACTTTTTAATAGAGCCTTCTGGAGACTATGGATTGTGAGGCCCTTTCCCTAACTCAGGATAGCACTTTAAATCAGACAAGGCATAAAAAAAGATCACAAATCCAAAATCTGTAAATGTTCATTAAAATTATTTTTAAAAAGAAAAAAAAGAGATCACTTAAAAAGTTCAGTTAATGGCTATTATTTATACTTTAAGGAGTCTTGGTGGTGCAACAGTCAAGAGCTCAACCAGTAACCAAAAGGCTGGTAGTTTGAATCTACCCAGTGGCTTTGTGGGAGAAAGACCTAAGATGTGCTCCCATGAAAATGAAAGCTTGGGAAACAGAGTATTTCTACTCACAAGGGTTCAGTGTGAGTCAAAACAGACTCAAAAGCACACATTTCCTTGCCACACTAAGTCAAGACCCAGCATCAGGCATTCACCACCCACTCTGCGTCATTCCATGGGGAGTAAAGCTCCTCGGGGTGCAGGGGTAGAGCTTTGAGGAGAGGGTTATCAAGCTCATGACAGAAGGGGAAGTGCCCAGGCCACTCTGGTGGACTTAAGGGTAGAGGTGGGCACATATAGGATGATGGGGACCAAACTTTAGGGAGGGGTGATCTGGGAATGACAACTCTGCTGAGTTTTACCTTTTGGGGACTTGAAGATGCAGTATTGGGCAGTGGTCAGCAAGGAGGGCTACAGCCACGAAATAGGGGTCCTCGGGGAACTGGGCTGGGGTTCCAGAGCCTGTGTCTGCGGAGGGACACAGCCTTGACAACTACGCCTTGGCCCTGGAGTGCAGGTTGGCCTCAGACAACTTCAGCTGCTCTGCCTCCTCACCCAACACGCCCACAGAGCCCAAAGGGGCAGGGTGTCTGGAGGCTGTCTGGCAAAACCACGGAGGGGATGTATAAGCACAGTGCACTGCCTGTATGATAACTATTCACTTTTTAACTTCTTAGGCCTAAGAAAAAAGTTACTTCAATGTCATGAGTATAGAAACTAACATGGACTGTCAGGGCTGGAAGGGAGGTTAGAGATCATTGTGACAAGTTCTCCATGTTGGCAAATGAGAAAAATGAGGCCTAAGAGAAGTCACCGGCAGACATTGATCTAGCATCCACGGAACCAAGTCAAAAAGCCTTTAGCAGATGAACATCTAAACCAAGTGTGGTCTAGACACAGTATAGACACACTACAACACGGACAGATGTTGAGGATATTATGCCAAGTAAAATAAGCCCATCATAAAAGGATAAACAGTGCATGGTCTCCCTTATATGAACTGCCAAGAGTTGCTGTTTGTTGTTGTGTGTTGTTGAGTCAGAACCAACTCACAGCTGACCTTCCAGTAGGGTTTCAAAGGCAGGAAATCACATGGGGAGGAGACTATCATTCCTCTCTTGTGGAACCATCATGAGCCTTTGGAAGTGTAGCATGGATTTTACCACGAGGCCACTAGAGTAGGTACTATTCTAATAATAAGTGAGGGAGAAAACCGCACAAACCACCAAACCCCAAAACAATGGTTGTTAGTGGTTACCAATGGCAGGAGAGTAGAGGAAGATGGGAGTAATTTTTGGGAAGTATTCATGTTTTTCTTTGGTAATGGAAAAACTAGCATTGAGTAAGGGGACTGATATGACTAAGCTGTGTACCAGCAAAGGGGGGGGATGTGAAATGACAAATAGAATACTTTTCAACAAAAACAGCCATACAAACACACACACACAAAGACAGGGAGGAGTGCTGCCGCTGTTGATACTCCTTGTTCCTTTTGTCAGTGCTGTCACATCGACTATGACTCATAGCAACCCTATAAATGACAAATCCAAACCCTGTCCTATCCTGCGCCATCCTCAGCATCTCAGCTTGGTAAATAATATTTGCTATAGCATTGCAAATCCAAACCCTGTCCTATCCTGCGCCATCCTCAGCATCTCAGCTTGGTAAATAATATTTGCTATAGCATTGCAAACAACTCAAATGCCCAACCACAACTGAATCATTCACATAATGGAATACTATGCAGAACTCAGGAGCAAAGATTTTGAACAATACTACATAACTTGGGAGAGACTGGACCGCATTATGCTGAGTGAACTAACTCAGTCTCATAAGGACAAATAGGGCATAAAACCATTATTGTAAAAATATAAGGATAACTAGTAAAATGTGCATGAAGGACCAAAGAGGGGAAGGGGTGGGAACCCAGGGGTGCAGATGGGTAGGGGGAAAAAAATCACAGGGTCACACAATTTGGTGGTTGGAGGGAGGGTGTAAAGGAAATAGAAAAGATCTGGTGGGGACCCAAAAACACGGGGCAATGGTGGGCATAGTTCAATGGTGATTAATAAAACACAATGCATGGGGACGATTATAAAGTGTGTGGGAAAAACCTGCATTAAAAAAATAATAAGCTTATTTTTTAAATTACCTGTATAAGATCACAATGTCAACAGTGACTTCTAGTGCCAATGAGAACGCTAAACACAGAGTCTGGGTTTCCAGCAGCGAAACTTGATGGGCAGAGATGGTGACAGTGTGACTTGCGTGACCCCTGCCAATGATCTGTGCACCTAAACACTGGTGAATGGTCTATGCTCTCATTTGTGTAGAGATCATAAAAAATACTTTTAAAAGGAAAAGAAAATACTTTAAAAAGGAGTAAGAAAAAATGGCAGATTGCAGAAGAAATGTAGAAAAGACTTAAAATGGCTCTAACTATCCACAAGAATTCAACTATCCCAAAATTGGCCACGAAACCCTAATCTCCTGGGACTGACTTCATGGAACATTCCGGAGTCAGAAACAGAGGTCAGTGATATTTGCATTTCCCCCATGACCAGCTAGAGCCCGAGAGAGCAAGCTACAGAGACTTAACTTGGCAGGGGCCCAGGAGAGGGTCTTGTGGGTCTGGTCACTCACCCTGGCCAGCCGCCGTTCCCCCCTCCTGACTTGTTGCAGAGAAAGGTGCTGCCCCAGGTCCCAGCAGTATTAACCAGGCCTCCACTTCACTTCCCCTCCATCACTGGACCAAAGCTCTGGGCCACTTCTGGAAAATGCTCTCCAATTATAAACATAGTCAAACTTGGAGGCTGGGTTGAAATTTGTAATATACTGCAGCCATGTATTAACATCAGGCTGGCCTTAAAAAAACCACCCCAAGTTGCTGAAGGAGACTTTCTAGAACAGTCTGTTAATTGAAATCAGCTGAAGGTTTGCGGCCCACACCCAAGGGAAAGACTGGTCAGCTCTGAAATGTAGAGATTTGCTGCTTTGAAATGCCAGGGAGATTAGGGGACCTCTGACTAGTGATGTCGCCAGTGCATTGCAGGGAACTGTTGATATTCCTAGTCGCTCTCTTCCAGTCTCTCTCCGGTGGTCAGGATGGCCCATGAAAGCAGAGAGAACTTGCCCACCAGAAAAACACAAAGAAAACCCAGGAGTAAAAAGAAAAAAGAAGAAAAAAGAAAAGAGGACAGTTTGATTACCTTTCAGAGAAAGCAAAGGGATTCTGAGATCATGCAACAAAATCAGAAGGCAGTTAGTGAGAAGTCTTTGCAGACCAGAGGAAAATGATGGCTAATTTGGAGAACCTGGGCGCTACTGCCAACTAGCTGTATCATACACTCTAAGATCAAGATTTTATAGTATGAACAGTCATTATATATGCTATCATTTCTCCTTATAAAAGAGCCTATTTTAAACTCTACCTTTGGACCTGATTTAGTGTGATGTTTTAAAACTCCTCTTTGAAAAAGAAAACACCAAACATGTATGCTAAAAAAAAAAGATGAAATCCCAGGGACAAAAAGGAGACACCAGCCTCCAAGACCAGGGGGCTTTCAAGACGGCAGCAGGGAGAAAACCAGTTCTACAGAAGTCACTATCAAAGGGACTTTGTTTTCGTAAAAGAAAAAAAGGTTCCAACTAGGCTGTGAAAGAGACAGAGGGTCAGTGTGGCTCAGAGACAAGAAGACACAGGGACACTACTTTACGACACCCCTTTGGTCTCTTTGCCTCTTTTATTATTGCTTAATGGATGATAAAGTAAATTACTAAGCCTATTTCTTCTGGAAGCAAATGTTTTAAACATTTAGAGCAAGAGTTGTTTTCTCCTGGGGCTTTTTAGCTGACCTAAAGCCAATTCTGGCTCC